CTGTATTTCCAGACAGGATATGTAAAGTCAGAAAGGTGTTATAATGGTTCCATCACAAGATGCCAGATGACCTGAAGGCATCAATTGCTTAGGACTCAGGAAGAGGCTATCCAAGAACTTAGTCCCTAATTCTAAAAATTTACACAGAAGACTAAGCAATAATTTGTAGGGCTCAATATGTTTCATAAGCATCACTACATCTCTGACTTTTAACATTTTACAGATAGAAGTTGGTATCCTAAAAGCAAATTTATATCATTAATTAGATCAGTAGTATACTACGCTGAAATCTCTGGTGCTTGGGTTTTATTTGTTGCTTTGTCTTCATCTTCCTAAACTTCCAACATTATATTGATCTTGGTCTCAGTCCTTAAATATTTTTCTCTCTTCTATCTAGTTTTATCCTCAATATCACCCAATTAATGATATTCAATGTTGTTTTTCTGTAGTATTGTTAGGACAGGACCCAGTACAATACTTTGAAAGCAAGGTATGTATATGAATATATATATATATATATATATATATATGGTTTCTATGTCATGCATACTGCATTGGAATATAAAACTTGAGAGAATGCTTTGAACAATGGCTCATGTATGTAAAGCAAGATTCATAAAAAGCTGAGAGATTGTAATTTAAGGCCAGACAAGGCAAAATGTTTGCAAGACCCCACCTTAAAAAGCCAGTAACGGTGGTACACATCCATAATCCCAGATATGCCTGACAGTAGAATCATAGTACAGTAGAATCACAGTATAGTCTGGCCCTAGAGCAAACACAAAGACAAATAAACCTAAAACCCTTTCTGAAAAATAGTGAAAGCAAAAAAATGTGGGTCAAGTGGTAAAGTGCTTGCCTAGAATATACAAAGTTCTGAGTTCAAACCTTAGTGCTGGGGAGCAAAACATTTGAGAGGAGAAAAAGGCTATTTTGAATACTTAATATCATAAACGAAGTTTAAGATCTTAATACTTAGCATCTTAAGTTAAGTTTATTAGCTTAGTCAGTTTAGATGTTAGTTGAAATAAGGCAACATCCTAGGATTTGGATAAATAGATATTATTTTACTTTTTAAGTTTTTTAATCTGGTAGATGAACTAGAATGAATATGGTCAGTGTCAATTATTTGTAAGTACGAAATAGACCAAAGAAACCTGTTGAAAGTGTTTTAAAAGGGAATTTGAGATAAGGGTAATGGAGGAAGTGAAGTTGATTATTATACATTGTATACATGTGTGGAAATGTCACAATAAAATCTTCATATAAAAAATACTGCTAATAAAAATCATAGGGAAGAACGCAGTATGGAGGTTCCTCAGAGGAGTCCACACAGAGCTCCCCTATGACTCAGCAATCCCACTTTTAGGCATTTACCAAAATGATCACAAACAAGGCCATATTAAAGCTACCAGCACAACTAGGCTTATTACAGCATTATTCACCATAACTAAGCTATGGAACCAACCCAGATGCCCCTCAGTAGATGAATGGATCATGAAAATGTGGTATATATACATACAATGGAATTCTATGTCTCCATCAGAAAGAATTACACGACCCCCTTAGTTAAGAAATGGAAAGACATGGAAAAAATTATATTAAGTAAAGTAAGCCAGACACAAAGAAACATAGTGCCATGGTTTCCTTTATCTGCAATAACTAGTATATGTCTAGGACAAGCAGAAGAGGTCAAAAGCTATGTACATATGATCATATAAGCTGATGCTAAGTGAAATGAATCCCAAGATAGGGACACAAGAGATTTTTATCTTTCTTGCTGTTCCTGTTAATATATTTATAATGTACTACGTGATTTGTTTCTTTGTATGTTCTTCTCCGATGGTATATCCCCTGTTGTGACTGTATTTGATTCCAGTATCCTGTATCTTATATATACATTTTTCTAATTTGGGGAGGGGAAAAGAAATAACAAAATGCTGAAATAAGGATACAGGAGGATGACCCATTGTAACAATGAGATGTATAAGACAGGACACTATGTTGAAAACAAACTTTGCAACTTTGCGGGGGGAGGGGGAGGTAGTGGGGAGAAGGAGTCGGGGAGGTGGGGAGGGAAGGGATGGTAGGAGAAAAACAAAGGAAGGGGTAACAATGCCCCATAGGAAATGGATTCATTACCTTACTCATATAACTATAACCCCTCTGTACAGTATCTTTACAAGAATATATATTAAAAAAAGGAAATATGCATGACATATACAACCCATTAACGTTTTAGTCTGATTTTAAGGATCAAATGAAATAAAAATGTTATGGCTTGTAAAGCCTTTAAATGTAAAATAAAATCATAGAGAGGGATTTATTGTGATCCTTCCATACATGGAAATAAAATAAAATACTTTGATGATGATGATGATGATGATGGCATATCATTAAAATGTAAAGTTTAATTGCTTTTACAAACTAGTGATTTGTGCCTCTGCTGTAGCATACCTGTGGCTGAGTTGTGTATACAAAAGAGAGGTTCATTTTCCACAGTTCTGAAGCTGAGAGTTCAGTATCAAGTCACAAACACACGTTGAGACATGGGATAGAAGAGAGAGCAAGATGGGATCAGATACACCTTTACGACGGCATAACTCATCCAGTCTTGAGAACAAAATCCTCATGGCTTAGTTACCTTTTATGGACCTATCTTATAGTACTGTTAAAAGGCAATTAAATTTCAACATAGACTTTGCAAGGAACCAATGTTCAAATAACAGCAAAATCTTTTTTAAATGCTCTCAAATTTACTAAAGTTATGTTTATAGTTAATCATTTATTGAATTTTTCTGACATTTGCCATCATTTATCAAAGTTGAACTTTCTCCATTACTCAGCTCTCTGTTCACTAACCTTACCTAAAACTCCACTAGAAAGTCAGCCACAGACAGCTTATCTTGTTGTCTTGTTGTCTTATCTTGTTGTCAAGAATAATTTGAGCAAACATCAGACTTGACATTGTCTACTGCAAGGAGGTAAGTTCAAAGTGAAAGGTAAGATAAGCAGATGGTCTCATCTGGTCAGTAGAACTATAAGATCTGCTCCAGCTACACTTACTACACAAGGTGCTGTGGTCCAAGTGTCATAGGTGTGCCATTAAGAATCATAATTGCGGAGCTGGGCGCTGGTGGCTCATGCCTGTAATCTTAGCTACTCAGGAGGCTGAGACCTGAGGATCTCGGTTCAAAGCCAGCCTGGGCAGGAAATTCCATGAAACTCTTATCTCCAATAAACCACCAGAAAACTGGAAGTGGCACTGCTTAAGTGGTAGAGTGCTAGCATTGAGCAGAAGAGCTGAGGGTCAGTGCTCAGGCCCTGCGTTCAAGGCCGACGACCGACAAAAGAAAAAGAATCATAATTGTATACTTAAATAGTTACACACTTATATCCTTATTAACACATCACATTTGAGGCAATTCGAATACCTCACATTTATTTGAAGTATAAATAAAATATTCCCTGAATACCAAACCTGCATAAACCACTGGGAGCCACACTAGAGAAACAACTATTTCATGGATCAAGTGCCACATGCTTGGAGTTGACGGGATGTAAATAATAAATGATAGGAAAAGCAGAGCAGAAAACAGACACCAATGACTCACCTGTAATCCTAGCTATTCAGGAGGCTTATACCTGGAGGATTGTTGCTGGAATACAGTCTGGCAGAAAAGTCTGTGAGACTCCATCTCCAAAACAGCCATCAAAAAACAGAGCTGTAGGCATGGCTCAAGTGATAGAACACCAGCTGTTAGCAAGGTGAAGGCCCTAAGTACAAGCCTCTCTCAAAAAAAAGTAGAATAAGAAAGCTATCCAATTTACGCTAATTGTAAACAAGGTCAAACCCCCTGGAGGAAGAGACAGAAATTTTGTCAGGACTGCAAAACAGCAAAATTTTGGGGATTCTAACACAATTTACGCCCAATTTGAGTATCAATGCATTCCTTAAATACAGAGAGACAGAGAGATAGAGAGAGAGAAACAAAGAGAGACAGAGGGAGAGAGGGAGGGAGGGAGAGGAAGAGAGAGCACTGGGACAAGCTTGGAACAGAGGTAGCAGGAAGATAGAAAAGAAATACTATAAAGTAAATAGAGGTAAAATTCTTACCAAAAAAGAGACCCTTTTACTTCTCCTTGTAGATTTCTATATCTAATACAACTGCCTTCAGAGTCATTATTGAACATCTGAATACTAAGATATAGACACTACTCAGTTTATTATCATACATCATTTTTCTCTAGCCTAGTTAGAAGTGTACTCTCGTTTTATAAATCATACATCTGATTTTTTTAATTTAAAAGCTATGTGCAATAACTGTAATCCTAATGACCTTGGATGATCAAGGTTTGATGCCAGCCTAGGCAAAAAATTCTTAAGACCCTCATCTCAACTGTCTGTGTACACTATTGCACACCTGTTACCCTAAAAGAAAGCATAAAGAGAGTCATAGTCCAGGATTGTTTAGGCAAAAAAAAAAAAAAAAAAAAACCACAAAGACTGGAGAAAAGTCTCAAGTGGTAGATAACCTGACCACCAAGTACAAGTGTGAGCTGAAATCCTTATACTACCAATTACACACACACACACACACACACACACACACACACACACCTCAGATTGACATGTATAGTTCAAAGACTGAAATATACAGCTGTCCTTTCACAATTACACACCAATATATTATTTCATTGCAATTTCCCCCTATTAGCATATAAGAAACTATGACAATTAAAATAGAATCATTGACTTGATATACCACAAAAATCTTCTGTGACTTAAGTGTAATTTGAAGTAGAGTTAGTTGTTGTGTTCTTTTCTATTAAAAAGCTTCTCTTCAAAGGTACAAAGAGGAAAATGTATAAATCTTTTCTTAGAATATTACTCTTTGAAGGACTGGGAGGCTTTTGACCCACAAATTCTATACAACTTAATACTTCTGAACAGTGAAGGTGGATTCTTGGAAAAAGTTTTAGCTGAACACAATACTTACCTGTTTCTCTTCACAAAAAGAGGCTGAGGGCCCAAAGAGAATCTGACATTGCTCATCAGCAGTGTAGGCCGTCCCTAGCAGTTTGGAGGGAACCATCACGGAATTCACACTCTGAGGATTTGTCTGCAGCAAGCAGCTACTTGCCTTTGACCTGGCAGCATTTGTAAAGTTTTGAAGTCAATGTAAAATATTTCTATGATTAGTTAGCAAAAAAACTTGAAAACAAAATTGTGTCAAGCATTTGGCTTGACCTTGGGACCTGAACACTGTCCTTTATCATTTTTGCCTAATGATGGCAGTCTACCATTTGGGCCACAGCTCCACTTCTGGATTTTTGTTGGTTAATTGGCTTCAAACTTCAATCCTAAGAACTCAACCTCCTAAGTAAGCTAGGATCACAAGTATGAGCCATCTATAATTATATAATTCTTTAAAATCTTGCAAATTTTAAAGTAATTTTAATATTATGAAAAGATTTCTTGCTAGATACTAGGTGAGCAACATCTAAATTTTTATTTAGATGTTTTCTTATAAAAGTTATAAGAAGCCAGGCACTGGTGGCTCACTCCTCTAGTCATAGCTACTCAGGACACTGAGTCTGAGGATCATGGTTCAAAGCCAGTCCAGGCAGGAAAGTCTATGAGACTCTTATCTCCAACAACCCCCCAGAAAACTGGAAGTGGTATGTATTGTGGCTCAAAATGGTAGAGAATTAGCCTTGAGTGAAAATGCTCAGAGACAGTTCAAGCTCCCCCTCTCCCCCCACCAAAGAAAAGTTATAAGAATGAATGCATATAGAAGAATTCTTTATAATTTTAATATTATCTCAGTAAATAATAATAACTGTACAAATTGAAAAAAAAAGAAACAAAAAATTAGATATGTTAAGTAACACATCTCCTTCCAGGCCATGGGGCAATAGACACTCCAAGAATGGAATCAAATGCTTTCATTTATACTCTGGTAGCGTGTTTATTTATCATGTTGCCTGTCTTGGCCAGCAGTAGATCAGGCACACAAAAACATTCACAATGAAACAGAAAGAAATGGCTTTTGTACCTGAGAAATCGTTCCAAGTCTTGCTTGCTACACCCAGACCAGGAAACATCACCAAGATTTTGCCCTTTAATCCATTCACCAGACATGATATGAAGACCTTCAGCACAGGAGGGGTGGTCATTGTCATGATTGATTCCCATACTGGTTTAGAATATAATTAATAAAATTATTAAATAAATATAATTTTAAAACTTTTCATTACTGCAATTCAATTATAGTTAAAATACTTGGAAAAAATTGTGTTTATTCAATTAGTGCTAGAGTTATAAAGTTCACACTTCTACAGAGCTATAGTAATGAAAACATCTTAGTAGTGGCAAAATAAAAAAAGGAAAGGAAAAAGAAAAAACCCAAAGAAGCAATTTTTTAAAAAACAGGCTTTAAAAACAATGGAACATAATAGAAGACCCAGAAATTAACTCACAGACCTATAGCCTCTAACACTTGACAAAGAAACCAAAAACTTAAGTTGTAAAACAGTGTCTCCATCAAATGGAGATGGGAAAATTTGGAAATTCACCCACATAAAGCTGAAATGGACCAGCATCAATTCAAAATGGATCAAAGACCTGGATAAAAGACCTGAAACCATTTCAAGAACCAATGAGTGCAGTATTAGGACTCCTTGGCACAGAAAAGAACTTTCTGAGTAAGATCTATGACAGCAATTCAAAGAAAGACTTGATTAATAGAACTGCATCAAACAGTATCAAAGGATATAACTAGTAAGCTAAAAAGACAACCTACAGAATGGGAAAATGTAATATATCATCAACTCGATTAATAAAAGGAGTCTTCTCAGAAGAAGTAAAATGAGGTGATAGACACAGGAAGAAATACTCAATATCTCTGGCCACAGGAAGAAATACTCAATATCAATGGCCATAAAGAACATGCAAAACAAACAAGATTTTGATTACACCTCATTCCAGTAAGAATGACCATTATCAAGAAAACAAATGATAATAGGTGCTGGAGAGAATGTCACAAAAGAGAAAAACTAATATACTGTCGATGGGAATGCAAAGTTGTTCAATCATTCTGGAAAACAGAATGGTGGTTCCTCAAAATATTAAACATAGAACTACCTTCTAATATATCAGTTCCATTCCTATGCATTTATCCAAAAGATTACAAATCAGGATACAGTAAAGCCACCAGCACAAACATGTTGATTGTAGCACAATTCACCATATCCAGGGTATGGAATCAGCCCAGATGTGCTTCAATGGATGAATGGATCAAGAAAATGTGGTATAAATACATAATGGAATTTTATTCATTCATTAGAAAAATAATATTGTACCACTTGTAAATAAATGGAAAGAGTTGTAAAGAAAAGGAAAAAGTTATATTATATGAAGTAAGTCAGGCCTAAAGGGACAAAGGATGCATATTTTCCTTCATATGTGGATGCTGGATTTAACTTATAAACTTCTAAGTAAACACATTGGGTAGCTTGCAAGTGAATATAGATGTAATAACTGACATAATAGTAGATTCAGGGAAGAACTCAAATTTCATAAAAAGGCAAAGTCAAATTTCAACAAAATAAACGCCAGGAAGTAGGTAATTGAAAGGAGTTGGGTCTGGCCAAGGTGAATAGTCAAATGAAAAGATGAAGATGAGAATGCAGTCAAGAATTCAATGTATAGCCTACAAAATTAAGAAGAGTGAAACAGAGGGTACTATGGGAAGTTATGCGTGAGATTGTTGAAAGGGATGACATGATGACATTTGATTAAAACGCACTGTATTCATAAACTGCTTTGTAAAATGCCAACTCCTTTGTACAACTACTTAACTGAGATAAATACTACTTAAACTAAACTAAAATAAAGACATGAAAAAACAGGATTTTAGATTGCTTTATTTATTGTTTTATTTTTTTATTTTATTTTGTCTACTGTCGTCTTGAACTTGGAGCCTGGTGCTGTCCCTGAGCTCTTTTGTTCAAGTCTAAAGCTCTGCCAATTTGAGCTACAGCACCATCTCCCAATTTATTTTATAACTGTATACCCTGCTATAACTTAAACATTTTTCTTACATATAGAACATTCTCTAATCAAAGTACCAACTACATGCTTAAGTTACATATCAAAAGATAGATTAGTTATATTTGTATCAATGAAACATAAAGGTCATAAAATTTTCTTTATCTAATCTATATCCTTGGGGTTTTTTTGTGAATCAATGCATTTTTCTTTCTTTTTTGGTGCCAGACCTGGGGCTTGAACTCAGGAATTGAGCACTGCCCTCAACTTTTGTGCTCCAGGCACAACAGTTATGCCTGAATGCTTTTTGGTGATTAATTAAAGATAAAAGTCTCAGGTATTTTCCTGCCCAAGCTGGCTTTGACTGGTCATTTCCTGGGTGAATCAATGTTTTCTTTTAATCAAAGTGTCAAATCACATTACACTATTAATTATTCATGTTTCACCATCTGCTGCATTCCACCATCTTCATTCTATCTCAAGTGGCAGACAGTCACTTCTTTCTTGGCTATCTTTAATTTTTAAAAAAATTTTAAGTAGGGATACAGGTGGACCCATTGCAACAACGAGATGTACAAGTCATTATGTTGAAAACGAACTTTACAACTTTGGTGGGGGGAGGGGAGGCCTGGAGGGGTGGGGGGATGGGATGGGAAGGGGAAACAAAGGAAGAGGCTACAATGCTTGATAAGAAATGTACTCATTATCTTGTAATTGTAACCCCTCTGTACAGTATTTTCACAATAAAAAAATTATTGTCAAGGTGATGTACAAAAGGGATTACAGTAACATAAGTAAGGTAATAAATACATTTCTTGTTGAACTTGTTATCCCCTCCCTCATTTTTCTCCCACTTTCCCTCCCTCCTAATCCCTCTGGACTAGATGTAAGTGAATATTGCTGTTGCATAGATTCCCCCTTTGTCCTTTGTTTCACCATTTTGTTGTTCCCCTTCCCATTCCTAGTTCAGATAAATGTATATACGATACTCAGGGTACCAAAATCGAATAAAGTGACAACAGGGGATAACCCATAGGGGACTAAACACAAAAGAAAAATAAAATCACATAGTACATTAAAAACAAAAACAAAGAAAAACGTTGTGTCCATGTCTTGGAGTTCATTTCACTTAATATCATCTTATATAGTCATATGTACATAGCTGTTAAGCTATTCTGCTCATCAGCTAAGATTATTCTAGATGTATACTATTACAAATAAAGGAAACCATAAAGATCCAGAAACACCACATATCAAAGAAAGGTTGGACAAATACGATCATGTTTCCTGCAGAGCTTCTGCATGGCAAAGGCTAGAAAGATCAGTAGAAAGCCCTCAGATTGGGAGAAGATCTTCACTAGCCAAGAAACAGACAAAGGCATCATATCTAAAATATACATAGAACTCAAAAAAATAAATTCCCCACAAAACAAATCCTCAAAGAAATAAGTGCCTCATTAATATGTGGGCTAAAGACTTAAAGAGAGAATTCTCTGTAGAGGAAATAAGAATGGCTAATAGACAGACACAGGAAGAAAGGTTCAACATCTCTGGCTATAAAAGAAATACAAATCAAAACAACCATTGAGATTCCACTTCATCCGAGTTAGAATGCTAAAATCAAGAAATATAATAACAACAGATGATGGAGGGGGTTGTGCTGTTAGTGGGAGTGTAAACTTATTCAATCACTCTGGAAAGCAGTGTGGAAGTTCCTCAACAGAGGAACCTCTATGACCCAGCAATCCGACTTCTGGACATTTACCCAAATGACCACAAATAAGGCCACACTATCGCCACCAGCACAATCATGTTTATCGTAGCATTATTTACCATAGCTAAGATATGGAACCAACCCAGATGCCCCTCAGTAAATGAATGGATCAAGAAAATGTGGTATGTATTTGCAATGCTTCCATCAGGAAGAATGACACCGCCCCATTTGTAAGGAAATGAAAGGACTTGGGAAAAAGTAAGCCAGACTACTTTTACTTTTTAAATGTAAAATCTAGATCTGTTCACTGAATTTGAAACTCAATTCTGGAGATATAACTTTTCTCTAATTGGATATTTTAGAAGCACCTTTAACCTAACACATTCTTTATATAGTTCTATTCTGCATTCTTTATCTTTCTAATGTTTGAATACATTTTCTAGTCAAAAAGTCTTCCAGATTAAGACTAATCAGGTCATATTTTTTTCCTTTTCTCTAATGCTTATCCAGGGTATTTTTTTTTAATTTTTAAAAAAATTTTTTTTAATTTTTTTTTTGTGAACATACTGTACAGAGGAGTTACAATTACATGAGCAAGATAATGAGTACATCTCTTATCAAGCATTGCAGCCTCCTCTTTTGTTTCCCCTTCACATCCCTTCCCAGCCCCCGCCCAATTCTCGCTCCCCCCAGCCCCGCCCCGCACCAAAGTTGTAAAGTTCGTTTTCGACATGACAACTTGTATTTCTCATTGTTGCAACGGGTCGACCTGTATACTTAAACGACTTGTTTTGCCCCATCTCCTCCACAAATTATACCGACATCAAATATAGTGAAGGCAGGGGTTATACTGTAGGGGAGGGACATACAAAGCAACAAAGAAATAATCTTATAAATGCTTTAGAAACAAATATGAAAGAAAAAAAAACACATACATATGTAAGGGTTCATTTTCCTAACATCACATTACCTGACCTTTTCTGCTTGATTCATACATATACTAGATATTGCAAATAAGGGAAACCATGGGACCTGTTTCTTTGGGCCTGGCTTACTTCACTTAATATAATTTTTTCCAAGCCTTTCCATTTCCTAACAAATGGGGCAATGTCATTCTTTCTGATG